GAACAAGCCATGAATGAACTTCCTAAGAAAAAAAACCCCAGGACCAGATGGATTCACAAGTGAATTCTACCAAATATTTAAAGAACAATTAATCCCAATACCCCATAGAAAGACTTTCCTAGAAAAACTTACATGAACTGATGCATAGTGAAGTGAACAGAACCAGGAGCATGTTGTACACAGTAACAGAAATATTGTACAATGATCAACTGTGAATGGTTTAACTCTTCTCTGCAAGACAATTATCCAAGACAATCCCAAAGGATAACGAGGCAAACTGTCTGCCTCCAAAGAAAGAACTGATACTGATTGGATACAGACCTAAGCAGGCTGTTTGTCACTTTCTTTCTTTTTTTATTTTATTTGAGTCTTCTTGTACAAAATGGCTAATATGGAAATGTCTTATATAATTGCACATATACAACCTATACCTGCTTGCTTAGCATCTCAGGGAGCAAGGAGAGAAGAGAGGGAGGGAAGGATAGAATTTGGAACTCAAAACTTTAAATAAAAATGTTTTTAAAAATTTTTTAAATTAAAAAAATAAATCACTCCAGATGGGCAGTTGACACATGGTTCCATATGTTTGAAGGCTGTCATGGAGAAGAGAGCTTGGCCGAGGAGAACAAAACAAGGAACAATGATGGGTGTTTTAGAGAGATCCTGTTCAGGCCTTGGTTAGACTTGGTAGCCTCAAGCTCCGGTATCATCCAGCTCCGGACTGATTCTGCCTGTAGGGTCATCTCCGTGTCACTTTATTCCTGAAATGGACAAAATGTGTCTGGTTGAGTTGAACTTAAGGTTCGCCTGTGTAGGGGTCTTGTGAACTCTGTCTTCATAATCTGCCCCTTGTTATTGTCAGTCAGTCAGCCAGTTAGTTAATAAGCATTTAATCTGAAAGGTGAGTTACAAGACGTTGGAGAGACTGTCATTAAGGAAAGGAATCTGGGTGGGGTTGCCAAGCTATTATGAGGTGACAACTGGCTGTAAAATTGTAAACAGGAGCTGAGGGTTAGTTGTAAATACCCACAGGACTTAAAAAAAAAAAACCAAACTGAAAAGCTCAACCTTATGGAGCAATAGGAAAATTCTGCAGTGACTGGCATCGACTGTGTGGTGTTGGCATTTCTGCCCCAGGCCACGGACTGTTTTCTGTGTTCCAAGTGCAGGCTCATCTCCCTCCTAGAAGCGAACCGCAAGGGTGCCTCCTCTCATTCCCAGTCACTAGGAAGAGTGAAGACTTCTGAAAGGAAATCAGAGTGGGGCTTTGTGGGATCAGGGGGCTATGAGGTGATGGAAGGGAGAGATGTCCCTTGTCAGGATAGTGGAGAGCAGGAGGGAGACACACAGAGAACAGCGAGGGAAAGAAGGGCTGCAAATGAGAACTCCAAAAAAGGGATCTGAGGCTTGTGCTGGAGAGGAACGAGTGGGACATCCCTAGGAGGAGGAGGAGGAGGAGGAAGCTGCTTGTCCTTTCAAGAGTGATTTAGTCAAGCCTCAGAAATGATCATTTGAGAAGTCCTCCAGTGACAGTCAGAGGAAAAAGAGCAGAGAGTGAGGGTGGGTGTTTCCCTCACAGGGGTGACGAGGCAGCTATTTGCTGAACTGGTAACAAAAATAGAGAAACAGGTGCATCCATCGCCAAGCTATAATAAGCCTAATCAAAAGAGATTCGCCTGGGCACCCATGATAAGCCAGGAAGAATCTGAAAAGTACCATCCACAGTTATGACATCCTGGGCAAGACACTGACGAGAACCATCTGGGTTCTCCTCTGCCCTGTTTCCCATCGAAGGGACGGGAGACAGATGAGAAAAATTAATTTAGCGAATGAACATCTGGCCAAGGTGGGGTCTGAGAAGAGGACCTGGAATTCTGGACTCTGGCTCAAAATATAGAGATGTCTCTAAATGCATTATTTAGCTTTCCAAGCCCACCACCACCTGGTCTCATCCTATCTCTCCAGCCTCGTTGGACAGTGCCACCCCCTACTGCCCCCCCGGATCCAAACTCACCAGCTTTCTCTGCATTTCTTAGTCATGACACGCTGTCACTCATTTCCACGCTTTGACCTTGGCCGTGGCCCGTGCTGAGAAGGTCATCCCCCCCTCCCTCTCCTCCACAGAGCCCATCTCTCGCTTTAAGACAGCTCAGGTACCATTATCGGGACACCTCCCCTGCTGATCCCCTGACTGCCTGGGCCCCCCCTCCCAACTCTTGTGTATTTGTTTATATTTGTATTTATCAACTTTGTGTTTATATGTGCCTGGCACATAGCAGGTATTTAATAAATGATTGATTGAATGACAGATCCCTGGCCAGAGATGCGGTACACCTGAAAAAGTCTGGTAAGAAGAATATGCCTTACAAATACCATTGAAATATAAATAAAAGGATAGATAGATGGTCAAAGGGTATGAACAGGAAGTTTTCAAAAGAAGAAATTCAAGCTGTCAGCGACCACATGAAAAATACCCCTAGAGCTCTGGTCTTGAAGTCAGGAGGACCTGAGTTCAAATTCAGCCTTGGACACTTGACACTTACTAGCTGTGTGACCCTGGGCAAGTCACTTAACCCTGATTGCCTCATTAACACAAAAAGGGCAAAAATATGCTCCAATCACTAATTAGAAAAATACAAATTAAAGCGATTTGGAAATGCCACCTCACACCCATCAGATTGGCAAAGATGAACAAAGAGTAAAATGAAAAGTGTTGGAGGGACTGTGGGAAAACAGACACATGGATGCCCTGTCGGGGGAGCTGAGAAGGAATGTCCAGCCATGCTGGACAAGCAACTTGGAACCCCGCCCTCAGAGTCACTGACTTGTCCTTGCCACATACACAGACATATGTCATACATATGTGTGCACATACATACATATAGGGCAGCTAGCTGGTACAGTGGATAGAGTGAAGGGCCTGGAGTTAAGAAGTCCTGATTTCAAATCTAGCCTCAGACACTTACTAACCATATGACCCTGAGGAAGTCACTTCACCGTGTTTGCCTCAGTTCCTCATCTGTAAAATGAACTGGAGAAGGAAATGGCAAACCACTCCAGGATCTCTGCCAAGAAAACCTCAAAAGGGGTCGGTCACAAAGAGTCAGATACAACTGAACAATAACAGAAATATACATATACGTGTGTGTGTGTGTGTATATACACACACCTTTTGACCTAGTGATAGTACTACCAGACCCAAGGAGATCAAAGAAATAAGAGGACTCATAGGTACAAAAATATTTATAGCAGCTCTTTACACAGTAGCCCCAAACTTTGGAAATCAAGGGAGTACCTGCCTATCAGGTACTAAATAAATAAATTATAGTATATGACTGTATTGGAATATTATTGAGCATTACGAAATGATGAAATGGTAGTTTCAGAGAGAAGTAGGAAGACTTGTATGAACTGGTGAAGTGAGTAAAGTGAGCAGAACCAGGAGAAAAATGTCTGCAATGACAACATTGCAAAGACCATCAGCTTAGAAAGACTTTAGCACTCTGATCAATGGGAAGGTGAACCAAGATGCCTGAGGACTGAAGGCGAACTGCACTGCCTACTGCCCACCTCCAGCCAGGGAAGGGCTGGGCTTCAGTGAAGGAGGAGGCAAACTTTTTGAACATGACCATTGTGGAAATTCGTTTTGCTTGACTATACAGATTTATTTATTGTTTGTTTGGGGGGAGAAGGAATTAGAGGGCCAGAGGGCAAATTGTACAATTAATAAATGTATGAAATTTTTTTAATCAAAAATTGAAAGGGCTTAAAATGAAAAAGAATGGGGGAGGAAGAAGATTGCCCATGCATGTCCCACAGACTAGCTGCCATAGAGTGTGGCCACAGTGAAGGAAAGAGAAGCTGAGTCATTCACGGGAGACAGAGATCCAAGAAAAGAGCCCAGAGACAAACCCACTGCTGCAAATGCCCAAAGTTGGGACAACAAACGGGAAAGAACAAAGGTCCTAACACCAAGGGGCACCCTCGACCTCTTTGCTACTGCTGGACCTTGGTGGGAAGAAACCACGACTGTCCCATGGCTCTGGATGGCGATGTCTTTTTCAAAAGAATCAGGATAGAAAACAGGCAGGGGCGTAGTGAGTGCCACGCTGTGTATTAAGAAGGTATGCTCATGTGAGAAAAGCAAAGATGGAGAAAGGAGGCATGATGGAGTCAAGATCAAGGGAGAGAGAAAGAAGAGTGATTTTGTCCTTGGATTCTGCTGCAGACCCACCTGAAAAGGAAGAAGAAACAGAGGGGGTATTTGGGAAAGAAAGAGTAAGCCTTCCCCAGTAACATGATAGGGTCGTGATGGGGACTTCATCTGTCTGTCAGCAGATGTCTGCTGAAGCTCTCTCTCTCTCTCTCTCTCTCTCTCTCTCTCTCTCTCTCTCTCTCTCTCTCTTTCCCAAAAGCAGAGGGAAAGGGGAAGAGGCATTCATTCAGTGCCTACTATGTGCCAGGAACTGTTGTGCTAAGCACTTTTTACAAATATAATATTGGAGCAGCTAATAACTTCTTGAGTTGTCTTAGGGATAATTTTGTCCTTCAAAAGGCACAGGAAATGACAAGGGGAAATTCTATTCTGGATCTGATTCTCACCAACAGGGAGAAACTGGTTGCTAGGGTGTGAAACTGAGGGGAACTCGGGGGAAGTGATCGCTCTTTCCTAGAGTCTACGCTGGAGAATGAGAGGAACTCTGTCCCTAGTCCAACATGCACCTTTGATTTTGGGAGAGCAGATTCCACAAGTTTTAGAGGGAATAAAGGATCTCATGCACTAAAATGCTACAGGGGAAGTCAGATGAGAAAGGTTGGAAGATGCCCAGTAATGAAAGTCTGAAGACATGAAACAGTTCCAAAGAAGGACAAACGTTTGGTTGTGGAAAGTTTGAATTAAAGGCACAGGGAACTCACCAACCAAGTCAGACCATATAGGGAAATGAACCGAGGATGAAGCCAGGCTGGTTAAAGAGGATGAGTGTAAGGGTGTGCTGTGCTCCTGTGAAAATCACATCGAGAATGCTAACCCACAGGATTGGCTGAGGCTGGCCAGGGAAGTGAGGCACAAGTAAAAGGACCCCCTTGAAAATACACCAGGAGAGAAAGGAGGATCATAAAAGGGGCAGGACTTTTCCTTTGGGTGAATGGGACGATAACGGACAAAAAGGCAAGGTAGAACTGCTTCCTCTAATTTTGCTTCTGCTTTCCCTCCCCAGAAATTGCAGAAAAACAGTGACTAAGGTGGGGGTTGGAGGTGGAAGCTGGTGCCCGAGACAGTAAGGAGATAGCGGGAAAGCACTCAGCTGTCCTTGGTTCACTCAGGTTTCCTGAGGCCAGCAAACTTATTTCTTTAACAAGTAAGAAGAGCTGGCAGATATCATTGCAGAGCTCTGGTCCAAAACATTTGGAAGCTCGTGGAAAACAGGAGAGGGATCACATGATTGTGCAAGTGGAACCTCCCCAATGTTCAAAACCAATGGAGCTATGCGCTTACCTTCAATGCCTGAGACACAGTGCTAGGATAGATCATTATAGGGAGATGGCTGGTGGGGATTCTCACTTCCAGGACTTTTCACCCTGGAACATTCCTGTGCCCTGAAAGTCCTCTTCTCCCATCAGTAAGTTCTTAGCAGAGCCTCCATTTTGAGGATGGTGCCAGGCTGCCATTCTCCCAGCTCTGATTCTGACTGTTCAGACTTCATCCCCATGCCCCCCACAAGGTGCTTGCCTTCCCACCTCCATTTTTCAGCTCCCTCCTATGCATTGTCTTCCCCCATTCGAATGGAAGCTCTGTGAGGGCAGGGATTGTCTTGGCACAGTACCTGGCACATAATAGGTACTAAAATGCTAGTTGACTAATTGCTAAAAAGAACTACAAAGTTGCTACAATGGCTTTACCAAGAATGGGTCATGGCAGTTTAACTTCTGATTTTCTTTTTTGAAGGAAAAAGAGAAGTCACTAAACCAGCAGATGAGAGGAATACTGTAGGTATCATTACTGAGAAAGAATCTCATGTGAATCTTGTAGAGGAGATAGCAAAATGTGAACTAGCAGTACTCTAGATAGATGGATTCCGACCTGAGGTGGAATACAGCAGGCTGAAGGAGAAGGAGTCTGATCTGACTTTCTCTGGAGGTCATAGGGAGTCTCAAAGGTTGTAGGGAAAAGTGGTGTCCCCCATTCTTGGCGCAGTCTTCCGGTGGCATGCCACCAATTGTTGGAAGCCTCTGCTTGCCGGCCAGCTAGTCCCATCCTGAAGTAGGGGATGGGTGGTCAACTGGTGACCTGGCTTTCTAGGAATCTGCAGCCGCTTGAGCAGAGGAAGTCAGCCGTGAGCTCCTGTCCCCTAACTGTCTGGCACCCTTTCCACGCATCTAGGTGGCCTCATGGACCATTGGCAATTTCTCGAAGCATTTTTACATTAATCATTTCTCCTGTTTCTGTAGCCTTACTGGGCTCTTCACCAGGTCTCCTGAACGTAGGGAGTCTGAGGTCCAATAAATCACAGAGCAGGAATGAAATTGTTCTGCCAGCTATGGCCCCCAGTTAGAAGTCATGGGTTTGGAGCTGTAACTGAATTCAACCCTTTTGGTGTGGAAATGCATTTACCCTTGGCAGGCTAGCGCTTCCTGGTTTTAAGAAGAAAAGTTTCTTTAAAAGGCTCAAACCTCTTCTCCAATAGCAACTAGACCATTTATTTTTTTAAAAACACCATTTTGGTGATTTAGATACAAATGAATCCAAAACACATGGGTTAAATTTCCCCCAAAATACATATGGTTTTTTTAATGAAAGGAAAAGGTGCTTGGCAAAATTCAGTTTGGGTTTTATTGAATCCAAACTTTGGAAAAATAGCTTAAGGGATTTGATGGACCATGGTAACTTCAGATGGTTATGTTTTTTTTTCTAAAAAACCAGTGAAAGCCCAAATGACCTTATTTACTTAAAGATAACTTAATAAGAATATTCACATTTTAACTTCTTTATAGAAAATATGATTGCTAGAAAGCCAGGCTGAAGGTCCCATGAGGAGTCTTGAGACCCTGGCTGAGGACAGCATTGGATGCTGCCGTCTTCTCTTCTACACCTTCTCTTCTGATAGCCAGAAGGATCTGCACAACACAGATGTGGAACTTGGATGTGGTAGGGCACCCCTGGCCTTTCCTCATAAATGGGTATAATACTAAAGCAAAGCTCCCAGCATGCATGGGTTCACATCATTGCTAAACCCCCTCCAGTTAACCTTGCTACTTTCCACTACTGTCTGTGACAAACTGGAGTATCTTATGGTTTCATATCAAGTTTGGGAAACTATGTGATGGGGTTTTTTTGTTTTTGTTTTTGTTTTTTTTGCTTTTTAGTGAGGCAATCAGGATTAAGTGACTTGCCCAAGGTCACATAGCTAGTAAGCATCAAGGGTCTGAGGCCAGATTTGAACTCAGGTTCTCCTGACTTCAAGGCCAGAGTGCTATCCATTGCACCACCTAGCTGCCCCTTATGTGATGGTTTTTAAAAGGCTCCATCAATAGCTACTAGAGAACTACCCCATCCTTCTCTTGACCAAAGGGAATCTTCAGAATGTTTCCTGCCTGAAAGCGTGAGCTGCACCCTCTCAGCTTGGGGAAGGAAGGGAATCAAGGATGGGGGATGGGTGGAGAGACAGACAGACAGAGAGACAGAGGACAGACAGACACAGAAAGGGGGGGAGCAGGGGAGGAAGTAGGTATTTCAGACCATTACCGAGAATACGGTTTAATGGGCCTCTGCCTTATGGGGTAAGCTCTAGTAGTCTTCATTCAGGTAACAAACATTTCTGGAGAATTTGGAGAACCAAGACATTAAACTGCTAGGGCAAATACCTGACTTCAAAGAGCTTACTTCATCCTCTGATAAAGGGACAAAAATATTATTCGTGGGAGGTTTAGAGATTTCAGGGGTTCTTTTCACCGTCAGTTCTAGCACTCTTTGGGACTATGCCCAAAGAGCCCTCCCCACCTGTCCCCATCCACTTTGTCAAGTACTTGTGTTGACCAATCCCTCTTCTGAGACTAACTTGTGGTCTTGAAAGTAGAGAAGTGGTTATTTCCAAATCTTAATTCTCCAATCCCATGAACATTCACTGAGGGCAAAGAACGAAAGAAAAACGTAGGACCGGCCCCTTTGTAGATGGACCCGAGTCCTAAGCTGACTCCTGGAGTAGGTCTGGTTGTCAAGACCCTGGCCAACTGCGCACTTACAAATGATGGGATCATCCCCTTCCTGTGAAGTGGGGAGTCAGGCTTCCCTTGGAAATTCCCAAGCCAAAAATCTCCTGGGTGAACAAGGCAGTGCCCTGATGTTCCGTGAGAGTATCCTTCATGGAAGGGAGTTCATACTTGGCCTTGTAGAGTGGTTTATCTTAAAAATATTTTTCCTCAAATTCCCAGTGGTATTCATATGACCCATTAATAAGATTAAATTGAGTTGATTTAGCTTGAACAGTATTGTAGACCTTTAAAAATATTTAACTTTTCAAATTTGGCTAAGATTGTTTTCCTCCTGGAAGGTTATTCATATGCCAAGATTAAGTTATTTTGTTTTGCTATTTTAAAGAAATTTCTATGAGGTTCTCTTTCTAAAGCAGTGAAAAAAATGTGCTTTTTTTTCCTTTTCCCATAACTCAACAAAACTCAACTGATTTTGTTCGTATGGTTTGAAAAAAAAAATAAACGCCATCTTTTGGCCTATACCAAGTATGGAAAATTCGAGTCCCAAAGGAAAATTTTGGAAGAAACTTACATAAACAAAAAAAAAAAAGGAGGACTTGGATTAGAATGGTTTTCTCCCATTTAGCTACAATGTTTGCTAACCCAGAACACTGGCATCAATTGAGAGAAAAGATTGGTTCAGTCTTCTGGAGAGATTTAAAATGTCTGCTGGCCCCAGCAAGTTTCCTAGCCTTCTTCCCCTGGCCCAACTGAGGCTCCCAGGCTGGGACTGATGAAAGGAGACGTCTTCAGTGACTAAGCCAGTATCACTAAGACAACACGGGGAAAGCTGCAAGCTCCATGGAGGGCAGGGCAGTGGCTTAGCCTTCTCTGGTCCTGGACAGGCAACGTGCTGCTTGTTTTCAGAGGACAGGGGACATCACAGGGGGATTCTTGGCTTGTGTGTGAATTGAAGGGAGGCAGAGCTGCCCAAAGTCATCAGCCTCACCCTCTCTTCCAGGGTCACCGAAGCCCAGAGGCAGGACGATGGTCAAGACTGCTGTGCTGGCCCGGGATGCAGCAGATGACCTTGGCATCTGCCCAACAAGACCTGACAAAGAAAGAAAGTGCCAGATGCTTGTTGAGTGAATGACTGAAATAGACGAGGTTCCAGTGGATAGATAGATGTGCTATTCCACATGTCTTTGACCATGTTTCTTGCACAGACATGATCCTGGAGTTCCAGACTGAGCTAAACTGTCTCTTTCCGAATGCTTATATGAACCCAGTGGCTTTATGTGCCTGGTTCTCTTTGTAGATCCGAGGGGTGGTGGTCACTCTGGGTACTGTCTGCCCTATTCTCATCTCCCACACGCTCTGAAAGTGATGTCTGTGTGACCCGGTAAAGGGACAGATTGGTCTCCGGTCCAGGATGACTAGTTGTAGTGCCCAGACACATCACCATGGAGCAGTGAGGACGTACTGAAGGGGTCCCAAGCAGCACTTGGCATATAATAGGTGCTTCATAAATGTTTGTCGGCTGACTGACCTGTCCCCGGGTTGGGGGGGGAAGGCTGACCTTGTGAGGGGCTCACCAGGCTTCTTCATGGCTGTGTTTTGTACAGGCAACTCTAGCTGTCTTTCTAAAGCCTGCATCTAATGTTCCTTGTGAGTCAGTTTACCGCGGCTCAGCCCCCAAATAAGCCTCTTTGTCCATCACGCTGGAAATCGCACTCTTGTTACCTGGGAACGACACAAAGGGTTCGATCTCGCAGCTTTAGGAAAGCTGTTTTTAAGTACTGTCAATTTCTTTCGCTTGGTTTGAGTTGCAAGACTGAGATTAGGGAGAAAAACAGATTTTTTCCCTTCCAAAGTTCTCTCTTCAATTGAACGTGTTGCTTGAAGGCTTTTGCCCAAGTCTCTGGGGTAAGAGTAGGGAGATGTAGAAGGCTTCTGGATTTTTTGTCTCTTGTCAGGATTTGCAAAGTACTTCAGCCAGTGACTCAATTCATTTCATTTCAACAAGCATTCACTGAGCGCCTACTCTGCATCGGGCACCATGCTGAGGGCACGAGTAGCAGCCCCCCCCCCCCCCCCCCGCCAGGTGTGTAGATCGTCCCAGACGCGCACAGGCAAGGACAGACATGAGGTAATTTGGCGAGGGAAGGAATGGCCCACAGCAGACTGGGGGGAGACAGCCTCCTGAGCTGAGTTTGAAGGGAGCCTGGGATTCTGGACTGGGGAGGTCGGGAGGGGAAGGGGCCCCAGCACGGCAGCAGCTTCATCCTTTCACCCTGCTTCCCTGGTGCCCAACGCGAGGTTTACAAAAGCAGCTTCACAAATGGAGCCGCATGCCCATGTCGCCAACATGCTTATGCTTATGACAAAGGTCCGTGTCATTCACTTCACCGTCTGGATACTTTGTGGGCAAACTCAAGTCATAAGCATTTGTTAAGCACCTACTGTGTGCCATGGCCTGTGCTAGGTTCTGGGGATACAAAGAAAGATGAAACAGCCCCTGTCCTCCTGAGCTCACGGTCTAACAGGGGAGTCAATAGGCAAACAGCAGGGTACAAACAAGTTCTAACCCGGTGAAGTGAGAGGGAAGGCACTAGCATTGAGGAGCCTTAGGAAGGGCTTCCTGGAAAAGCCAGGATTTCAGCTGGGGCCTGAAGGAGGCCAGGGAGCCGCAAGGCAGAGAGGAGAGAGAGTCCCTGCCATAAGGGGACTCTCAGTGAAAATACCCAGTGTCAGGAGATGGCCTGTCCTGGGACACGAGTGCGAGTGGAGGGATTTCCTCTGAAGCAGCATCCTGGGTGAAGATGCTGCTCGTCCTCTCTGTGGTCTAGCCCTGCTCTCTGGGAGGGAGGGGGGCACAAGGAGACTGCCAGCTGGTCTAGCCTGGGCCTCTCATCTGGCTCCAGGCAGGCATCATCTCCTCAGAGGCTCCCCTGCCCTGGCCAAGCACCCTCCACAACCACCTCGCTGCTTCCCAGCCTGCGTGTCTGACGTACGGGGGATGAGGGGCTGGGAAGGAGGCCTTTGGGGACCAACAGAGAGACTCTGGTTAAGGGGGTGGGCCCCCACTTACTCCCCATCCTCCTCACCTCACTAGCCTCCCAAGTCAGTTTCTAAAGCAGTTGGTGAGTCCCAGAGTACCTGGAAGGATATTCCATTCCTCTCCTGTGAACAAGGATGTCTGACTCAAGCCCATTCTGAGTCCAGTTTTCAGGGATGGAGAGAACAGTCCACTCTTCTGGGTCTGACACACAGGGCCAGGACTGTGAGGCCTCTGTGCCACTCACAGTAGCTGGGCAGCCCCCTGGATCAAAAATCAGAATCCTAATTAGCACTACCAATATAGCACCTACTATGTGCCAGGCCCTGTATATTATCTCACCGGATCCTCACAACAACCCTTGGAGGTAGGTGCCCATGCCCAGCACTGTACCCATGCCCATTGCACCAGGCACGGTTCTGGGCACATAGTAGGTGCTGGTTCAAATGAAATGGATGAATGCCACAAGGGTCTAGCTGTCAGCAACCAGCCTGGCATGGCCAGAGACCAAAGCCAAGCCTCCAGCGGATGGAGCATGGGATCTGGGGCAGCCTGGAGCCAGCCAGTAAGAAGAGAAATGTCTGGCTTGTGCCTTGGGGGAGGGGGCAGGGTGGAACAAGGAGGCCAAGTCTTCTCCCCTCCCTGGGAGCTCCCAGCAGATCCCAAAGAAAAGGGAACTGATCACGTCGAGAAGCTTCCATTGTTTTGATTATAATGTTTCCAGGAACAGAAGGCACTTGGCAGGGCCAGCCCAACATACAGTCATGCCTCTGCCTCTTCCGACTTGGGATGTCACCTCTGATTTTGGCTAATAATGTGGTTTTTGCCAGAAGCAGGATTTATAATTGAATACAAACAGCCAGATGGATCACTCTAAATTATCTCTACTCTGGAAAAGAAAAAAAATCAGAAAACTAAACTCCAGTCAGTTTTTATTTTCTCTCAGAGTGAAAATGTGCAGGGTACTATAGAAACTGTGATTGTATTTGTGCGCCACACTTATGTAAATCACCCAGCACAAATGGCTCTCCAGAGTGCGAGCCTCCCTCCTTTGCAAGGATGTAATTAACTGGCTGGTGCTCTTTCCAAAAGAAGGATTTCACCAAGAAGGGTTTGGGGAATGCTAATGTGCCCCCCCACACACACACACATGCATACACACATGCACACATACACACACACACACACACATACACACGCGCACACACACACTGAATGGAAAAACAAATTTCCCCTCAAATAGCAGGATGATGGTTGAGAACCAGATCTTTGGAAGCGATATTGTTACTTGTTCATGAAAGGTGTTCTTGTGCAGCGACTCCCAGTTTATAAAGGAAGCTGGTTTGGGGCTTTCAGTGTGCCTAATGCATTGGAATCCTGGGGTAAGATTGACAGTCTTTCCTGCTGACACTCGGCTCTCATACCTCTGGCTCATCTCCTGAGTCACCTGCATAGGAGAAAGGGGGGCTGGGCACATCCCAGGTCTCTGCTAGAGATTCAATGGACATCCCGCCAAACCATGAAAGGCTCCCAAGGTAAACCTCACCTTAGGTATGGATGGATTAAGCAATGCAAAAAAATGAAAAAGAGCAACAGATTGGATAAGAAAACAAAACCCCACAGTCTGTTGCTTACAATGAACACATTTAAAAAACAAAAACACACAAAATAAAACTGAAAGGATGGGGGAAAATTCGCTGTGCATCAAGAAAATCCAAAAAAGCAGGCGTTGCCATCATGTTATCAGCCAAAGTAATGGTTCCAGTGGAGAAAATTACTGCCAGCATCCATGGACACCTCAATGGCTCCAACAGGAGACCCACTGCCAGTATCTATGGGTACCTCAATGACACCAGAAACACCCACTGCCAATATCCATGGGTGCCTCAATGGCTCCAGAGAAAGACCCACTGCCAGTATCCATGGACACCTCAATGGCACCA